GACTGGTCTAAATAGAACGACTGTCATTTCTTTTTTTCCATTTGAGAAATTACTTGAGCATTAAAGATGAACATGGCTAATCACATCTGAATAAAGGAGGGAAGTTTCTAAAGAAACTGTGGTGCTGCGTTGGTTGGAGAGTATAACAGGGTAATTTAGTGTTATCAGCTAAGCTGATAACGCAAATTGGCCACCGTTAAGAGTTAAAAAACTGACGTTTCGAGTGTTAGCCCTTTGTCCATCTGCTTTGACAAAGAGCCAACGCTCGAAACATCAGCGTTGTAACTATTTACGATGGCCAATTTACGTTATTAACTCAGTTGATAATATTAAATTACCCTGTTGATCACTTCTGAACAAGAATATGAAATGCGTCTTTAGGTTGCTCTTTATGGCACCCATGTGTAAAGGTTACTTTTATGAGGATACATTTTTGTTGCAATAATAAATACAAAGACGCTACCGGGGTTGGGAAAAGGACGAATTGATCCGTGGTCAAAGGCTTATGCATTTGACCCACCGGTTACATTAAATTACAAACCTGGTGTTTCTAAAGAAAGAGCCACAGCTCTAGCTAATATTTGATCTTCATCATCATCTTGTGTTTGAAAATCCTGTCAGATGGGAAAAAAATAGTGGCAATGACTATCATCGTATGAGAATTAAGCCTTACTACAACGTTCAAGGACACATCACTCAAAGGGTAAAGATAAATGTATGGTCTTGCAGCATATAACTAACCAAGGCTCACAAGAGTCGCATAAGTATTCCAAGATAATCTAACAGGCCTAAAAAGTTCCCAAACATTTAGCCAGAACAATTTTAACTTTATTAGTTCCCAAACACCTCTAATTTTAGTAGTTCATAACACTACCATGTTAAGACCAGAACTTATAGAATCTTGAATGTATGCTGAAAGTTGGTAACTCTGGATATTCAAAAGATACCTGCACCAAAGATGAGGGAGTTGGAGAGTCTTCTGGTTTGGACATTTTTAGTACTTTGGCCAGGGCTTCGTCTTCATTTTCCAACTGGAAACGCCTCAAATCTTCAAATCCCTGATGTAAAATAATATTTCCAAACAAGATATGACACCTTGCTGATTAGTGATTTACAGATTTGCATTTGCAACAAAAAAGGTCACTTATATCCTTAAAATTCGAAGTTATGCTTATGTATCCATCAAGATGTAGGCGATACAATTTGTCACTGATCAGGATAAAATAATGGGACAGAGAAGGACGCTTTCTGCTCCAGGCCTTAGGATATGTCAATCTCATGTTATTTAAAGATAGCCGTAGCTTGAACGCTCTGAGCGTGCGTTAATATATAAGACAAACTCTTAAAAATTAAGATCAGAAAACGATGACGGTTAAATCACAGGATAATAAAATTTACAAGCTAACCAAGCATTACGAACCCGTTTTTCCTTGTACAAATCTTCATAAAATAAAACCTTTGGAACACAACACCTCCATAGGCTCCGAGACGAGAGTCACGTTTCGTTAACCCGAAACGTTATGTTATTGCACATGTCACACATCGCTTTCCGTTTAGCATATGGCCTTTTGGTCACGGAAATTGAAACGCATCCGTCCCCTTCAGTAGGCCTTGATCGCCTGTGAGTATGATTGAAGTGCCAGCGAACAGCGACGAGATTGGTTCTTTAAACATCAAACGGACTCCGGCAATAAGAAACTACATTTATTCGAGAAACTCGATGCTTCCAAGTCCAAGCTAAAGATAACTTAAGTAAAATCTACATATCCCGGCCAACGCCTTGATTTTCCCTCTCTCCTCGTTACTTTCTCTTGATTTTAATCTAATAACGTTTTCTGGACTCTTGGTGTTACAACGAGTCAACACTACAAGGGTGCAACTTTCCATTTTGTGGCAAACAGATGAGAAGCGTACTAAGGGAAATCTGCCAAGATTTCTTAAAGAATCATTTACTGAATCCCATGAGTCATCAAGATATCAATTCTCCTGACAACATCGGCGCATTGAAGAGCAAACAATTTATGAGAAATTGTAAATTTTGAACTAATACGTGTTTTGTACCAAATTCCCTAGATTATTGTATAAGGACTGAAACATCTTGCAGGCAGTCAAAAAAAGCATGTGTAAAGTTATCCACAACTGGCTGCAAGTGAAGTATCAGCTACATCAGACTTAATTGGCCCTTCACGTTGCATGTTGAAAAGAAACCAAGCGGCAACGACGGAAATAACAAATACACAAAATAAAAGCTTATATACAAAGCAATATGAGGCAAAGCTACGAGAGATAAAAGAAAATAAACTTACAGCCATGGTAGATGCCTTCGGTTAATATTCGGTGAGTCAATCTCAGAATTTCAGTATGCAAACACTGTATTGATGTTTGTAATACTTGGTCTTTATCTTCTGATCGAAGACTGAAGATAAAAAAATGAAGGAAACAAGTTAAAGGGTGATTCCTCTCCTAGTTTAATTCTATAGTTTTAATTCTGCTTATAAACTATATAAAATATATATGATTTCCTTAAAGTATTATTTGTTACCATCAATTTGCAGTAGTATGTTATTTATTTTCTGTAACATCAGTAGTAGTGAAGGAAAAATACGTGGACATGCCTTCGTTTCTTATACCGCCTAACCTAAATATATTCCCTCAACCTTCTAACTCCCATGAGTGACCAAGACTGAATTTCTCCTTACAATTTCGAAACAACATCAAGCAGACAAGTGATGAGAATAAAGAAAAACATCAATTGGAGAATTATCAGTTGATCTAATAACAAATTCTCCGAAATACTATCATAAGAATTGTATGGCAGTCAGTAAGGAGAATTACTAGTGGGATCTTGGGGAGTGGAAGGGTTAATATGGATTTTGACATTCGTTCCCTTTTTGTATGACTACAAACGCTTTTAGCTCTCTTCTGCTTCTTGTTGGACCAAGCATATAAATAATCGGACGGGGGTTTAAAAATGCAATCACATATACACCGGTCTTGAGGATTTGTCCTTGGTTAATTATTCTTTATATCACATGAGACCGTGTTTAAATTTAGAGATGGGGTAAAATAATCAGATCAAACCACAATCGTTTCGTATATTTGTTTATATACGCTGGCAAATAAACTCTTCACTGATCCAACACTCATACCGTGTTAGGAGGAAAAGTTGCATCTCCAAATATAAAATGGGGCTTTCTATATAACTTTCAACAAGTCAAATTTACAGAGAATGGCCCAGTAATAAACAGAGTATAGCGTGACAGCAGTTTGTTTAATCATTAAGTCTACGCGGCTTTGATCATGTCTGTCTCAGTTTCGCGGAATTAAACCGGAAGAGGAAACAACGACATATTTGAGCCTAAAATCGAATTTTATCATTCAGATTTGTCACCAATACTTCATTACTTCTCTGAAAGCCAGGATCGTGATTAAACAAGAATCTAAAAGAACGTGAGTTTTGATAAAGAAGGAAAAGAAACTTTGTATTTCTCAATGTTTACTTATGCGAATGATCGAAGAATCGCGCGGTGTCGATTCGCTTTCTTCGCAAGAAGTTTTGTTTCTGGACTAAGCAGAGTTCGTCAAATGTAAGAGTAAACATGTTTAATAGGATGATGCAGTTTTACCGAATCTACCATAAATAGGCCAGAAGTAAAAACAGTTAACGTTGATGAAGACCAATGATCAAATATACCTACGCATCATACCGCGATTAAAGTTTGAATATATTTACCCTCATTCAGCTGCACAAATGAGAACTCTTTCAAGACGTCTGGCGTTACTTTTGTTTGCGTGAAGTTAAAGACTATGGCATTCCCAAAGTCATCGTAATGTCCGTAGTGTTAAGTAACTTGTTGCCAGAAGAACAATGGCCAGTTTATCCGAAAGACCGTCGGTAAATTGATCGACAGTTTTACAATCCGGGAATTTACATTTACGCTTGAGTTACGTTGTAACGTTACGTTGTTGTAATAAAGACGGCGATGCAGACGTCGAGAAAACAAACTTTTAACCTAATTTCCCGGAAATGAAAGTTTAAATAAGTCATTCTTTACACGCCTTAGGATTGTTTCCCACTATAAAGTAAGTGTTAGTACTGTTCTAAACGAAAAGAAAATGAGACTATTGGTGAAAAAGTTGTAATTGCGGAAACTAAAGCTATAACTACGGATCCAACGATGCATTGTTTATGTTGTTATGCTTACATCGTGCGCTTACTCATGTAAACTGATTGATAAATAGGATATGATGTAATAATTTAGTTTTAGACAGTTACGCATGATTTAATCAGTCGAGCTCGGATCAACTTGATGTTGTTCGCAGTCGGCAAGCTGTTAATAAAGGTTTATTACAGACTACCAGTTACTACTACACCAACGGATTTGTGTTCCAATCCCATCATATTTCGTTGCGTTTTCCGAGAAGACCAGGTGAGAAGTATTTCGTTCTAAAACAAAAAAAAATATCTGGTGCATGTAACCACTAGAGTAGAATTTTAGTTGATTTTAGAACAATGGCACATTTCTGGGAAAGCTAGGGCGAATTGTCGATGACATCAATACTTCAAGAGTGAGAGTCAGCTATTACAACTTTTAAGACATGCTTTGATAATTCTTAACCAAGAGGATTCACTATACTGATTAAAAGGAACAATTCTGTGCTGATTTAATGACAAAGGCGGCCCTCGGGAAGGGGTATTGACTAAAAATATTACAAGCTTTCAAGGCGATTATCACGTTACCAGTGATAGCTACGTAATTTTTCCTTTGGAATGAGTTCGCGCTCCGGCTCTTCTTTAGAGTTTTACAAAAAAAAAGAGGGGTCAACCGAGAGAAATTATGCTGCAGTAAAGCAGTGTGTTTCTAAACAGAACAGGCATTTTTAAGGCTTGTAGACAGTGTAAGATTGCCTCCTCCAAGTCAAGCTATGCCAATTTCAAGCCGACCGAAAAAACTCAAATAGTCGCAGAAATGGCCTAAGAAAATTGTTTTAATGTGGCAACTGCACAAATTTATAAATCTTAAGCTTGGACATCGATATCTTACTTATTGCTCTATTACATATGAATCTATAGAGAAATTAGTTAAAGTCTTTGGTACTATACCGAGAGCATGCTATTGACTCTTCTAGCTACTCTTCTGAAACGACTCATTGGCGTTTCGTGCATGGTGATAACTTCGTGCTGGCATTTTCAGTCATCTTAGCTTTATTTAGATATAGTTTCCACATCAGACCCTTTGCTTTGGTATCAATTTCTTTGAAATATGGGGTGTGGACGAAGTAACTCCACACCGTGGTCGAGCGGAAGAGGAAAATCAGTAAATCCAAACTGCAAAGGCAATCCAGGTATCAGCGGTAACTTAAGGTGATATATTCTGTTCAGCATAAATCGCCTCTAAAAAACCATATTTGCAGCTACTTCTACATTAATTTCCTACGACGTGAAGTCGTATATAGCTCTAATCATCATATGTGCGAGTCTAGCTTAGGGTTTTTTTTTGGCATTTTTTTGTCTTGACGAATTATTTTAAAAACAGCTGCAAAAACGAAAAACATAGACAATCTGCGACTTATTCGTCAAGGTGAAATATCTTAAAAGACGTCAATTACAATGAATCGAATGTACCTTGAGAATCGTCTTTCCAATCACTTTTATAAGTATTTTCTTTCAATTTTTGCGGGTCGTGTTGTGATTTCTTACATTACTACGCAATTCTCCACTACTTTTCGAGCTCCAGTAGCTATCGCATCTTTCACTTTTATGGCAGCTCGTTTAATAAAGCCTGGTTTCTTAACTTCCTTTAGCTCCTCTTCAACGTCTTCCAACTTTTTTCCTATTTCTTCCACCATTTGCATTCGAGACTGAGCAGCCTTTTGGTACTCTTCTGTCAAAGCTTGGCGTTGTTGCTCAAGCTTTTCCTCCATCTCGCGACGTAGACTTTCCTTTTCTTCTCTGTGCCTTGCTTCCATCTGTTCAAACTTCTCCTTTTTTTCCATGGCAGCTTGAGTTCTTTCCATCCTCTCTTCCTCTCTTCTCTTCTCTTCCTCTTGCCTTTCAACCAACTTAGACAGCTTTTTTATCATCTTGATGTTTTCCTCGTTCATTTTCTGCATGTCAAGGAACTGGTTTCGGAGTTGCTGATTTTCTTGCAAAAACTGCTCTCTTTCCCTCTGTGCTTGTTGCATATTTGCGTCCATCATGTTTTTCATCTGATCTATCTGGACTCGAAGATCATTATCCATTTGCTCCCGGAATTTCTTTCTCTCCTCGTTTTGCCTTTCGCTTAACATTTCCATCTGTATAAAAATGCACGATAATTTCAACAACAGTGTACCAACACGAAATGGTTAACATTTAATAATTATTCGTCGAAAGCAAAGTGAATTTTGTTGAAAGACCTCTGATACGCAGCCAGTTTCCACTAGAATTCAACTGGTATATATATCTCATTCAATCAGCAACACTTCATATCTTTCTTTTGGAAAGGGTTACTCCAAACTCAGCCGCATATTTTGTGCTTTTCATGATCATGATTGAATTTTTTCGATTGCACTTATCACTTCCTGGGTAAAGTTGACAAAACACGGGCAAGCCATTTGAAATTTAGCACCCTTGCTCGCAAGGTGATTATTGGGAGATATGACGCAATCCTCGAACAATCAGCACACGCGCATATCTATGATCACTGGAGCAACTATACTAAAACAAGTTAAACATGGCAACGTTATTGGATTGTCAAAGTTTTTTTGCGAAAGGTTACGAGTTAGTTTTCTTACGTCAAACTTTCCCACATCCTTCCGCAAGAAAATAGGGAGAATACACTCAGAAATAATCCAAAGGATTAAGCAACAAAGTGTTGATTCATGTGATGAACCAGAGAGAAAATTGATTATCGTACATTGTGTATCTTGCTTTTGACGCGACTACGTCAACAAAAAGAAATGTTACTTCAATTAATATCTATGTTTTGAACAGAAGTCTTTCTTACCTCTCTCTTAACTTGACGATTCTCTTGCAGCAAACGCTGTTGCTGTTCCTTCGATATTCGAAAGTGGTGAAAAAAATGAAATCAGTTTGATATTCCATGTTTTCAAATAATCATGCGAATTCGTTCTGTATAAATGGTAAATGATTGCGTCAGATCATGCGTTTAATCGAAATAGGCGTGCCCTAGTTGGTCAAATAATTTTAAAATTCTGGCTTCTTGATCCGTCAGTTATTACTCTGAGCACAAGGGAAGGAAAGAAGTTGCAGTTACTCTGTTACTGATAGACTTCCTCCTCTAGAGTTATCTCGAATAAGCATTTCATAATTAGTCAAGCAATGTGGAAATCTGAAAAAAACAAAGCATGATAAGGGCATTACCTCAAGCTTTTGTTTTTCCTGCTCTTGAAAGGCTTTGGCAGCCAATTCTTCGGTCAGTCTTTCATCGTAGTCTTTCAGCTGTTGTAAGAGGCTCATGTATTGCTCTTGCTCTTTCATCAATGCCTCAAGAAAGACAACAAATAAGCACACATTTAAGAAAAAAACGATAAAAAAAGAAATCAAAGAATCTTAACTTCAAAAGTAGGATTCCTCTCTTTGGATACAGTAAGTCAAAATCAAGTGCAACCCACGTCGATTTTTTTCTTCACCAGCTTGTTAACCGTTAACATATAGATGAATAATGACCAATACTGCATGTATCAGTAGCATTTTTCTAGGAGTATGAACAAACTCAAAACTCCATGGAAAAGCCTGTGAAATTGACGCCTACTAAGCAATCATACGGGAACGATCCGCGAACTGTGCTTTTAAACTAACAATGAGAACTAAGAAGCGAACAATGTACTTTTAAACTAACTAATGAGAACCAGGAAGCGAGCAGGGGGCTTTAAACTAACCAATGAGAGCCAGGAAGCAAACTCTGTGCTCTATAGCCAGGCTACCAAGAACCTACGTGTGTGACTTTAAAGAACAAACGATCCATAAGGATGAATGCATCTGTAGATAAGACCGAGTGAAGAGACTAGCATAACTGAATATAAGAGAACTTAAGCCCTGAATTTACTTACTGGGTGAAGCTCAAAAAACACCGCCTCAATTTCATCTTTTGCGCCGATTGCAGACTTGTGGTAGTCATCTTTAATCAGATTGTATTTTCCAATAATCTCATGAAAGGAAAGCTTGGCTCCCTCTTTTGTTTGTAGTTGCTGTAGTACTGGGTCCAGATGCTGCTTTTTGAGCATTGCGAGCAGGTTGTAGCAGAATTCTCTAGTCATTTTTGCATTCCTCTCTTGCCATAAGTGAAACCTTTCACTCAACGATTCCTAAATGAAGGATAACGATACAGTAGAACAGGATATTAAACTGGGAAGTAAGAAGATTTCGTTTGACGCCACCTTGAGCTTCGTGGACCTGTTTTACAAGGAAAAAGCTGAAAGTAACGCAAGCATGAGTTGGCAAGAATGTTGGCACTTCTCTCCTTCATAAAAAACCCGTTTCCTGTTGAAGAACAAGCTTAATGCATTGGTTGCTTTACGATTTTCATTATCTTTTTGAGACACAATTTTTCCTAAATTTGTGTTGATTAATTTCCACTATTTGGTACAGTGAGCCGTACCTGCAGTGTGGATAAGAGTTAGATGACTCTAAACGTAAATAACAAAAAACTCCTTTTCATCTTTTGTTTTCGGAAGTTGATTTTACAAGATGTCAGTCTGGGTTATAGATTGCACAGGCAATAATTAAGAGTATGATACTCTCAAACGTATCTCCATCATGGATCATGCAGCCCCAATACAGGCCTAACCTTCAAATTTGTCAGAAATGTCTCGATCGTGTTTGTAGATATTCCCGCCGTGTCCGCCATAAAATGGGCTTCACTGTTCTCAAGCGCCATTCCATGACCATTTCGCAGTCGATCATTATCACACGGTAGCTTATCCTTCAGTTGTAATGACATGGTGGTGTCATAAGCATTAAGTGCATCTTTCATTGCGGCTGAACATTTCATCTCCACAAACTGATCCCAGGCGTTCTGAAGATTCGGGAACATAACAGGCGTGTTGATGGCTTGGTCGTAGAGCTTTACCAGTACTGCAAGGCCTGATTAAAAAAGAACTATAGATTTGTACTTGCGCTGATATAACACAAATAATAATCTGCGTCATGCTTCGTGGGTAAAGAGTAAAGCCATGGTCCACTATTAATTCTGTGTTTAAAAGCCATGGACCATTCAAGCTTATTTTCAGTCCAGAGTGAGAATATGCAATCGTCATTGTTAGAGCTGAGCTGTTTCAGCACTAAGTCACGGTCTGGATGGAACCGTAGAGTGTAACAAAGGTTGCACAAAACCTTCCTTTACCTTCTCCGGTGACAAGTTCTCCATCGTTAACGCTGTTTTTGGGGAGCAAAATTCGCCTCACCAAACGTCTGAAATCTTCCAACTTACTGATGAACAAAGGGGCGTAAAAATTTTGGAGAAGAAACTCTGCCACACTGATAAAAACAAATTCCCTTCTCTCTCAAAAGTGGGTTGTTAAAATTAGAGGATTAAGACTGTGTCCACAAGGGCACCATGGAGTACTACTACATGCCATCTCAACGATTTCAATGAAACTTTGCCAGTTTAAAGGGTCACCCCAAAACTCAAACAGACAAACTGGTTTCTGTTTTAGTTATTTCCGGGGGAGATAGGCCGCCCCTCCTCGGTTTTTCTTGGTTTTCACCGAGGAAATCGCTTCAAAATCGGTGAAATATGTGAAGCTCTCAATGTGATGCAATGATAAATGCGCAACGCAAGTATCAGTCAGTTTGATTGACGGCTCGTCCATCAACAGAGGCAAATAAATGAAACTTTTCGATTCATCCAAATATTTGATAACTTTGAGGTCAAATATTTCCCCTTGCCGGAAAGCTACAACTCTTATTTCAATTCTCCTTTATAATCCATCATTTCATCTCTAAAAACCATCAAAAACATCTTTGGACATTACCGTGTTTTTTTACTTGGATGCCTAAAAAATCTACGACTGTGACAAGCTTCTCTCAACTACATCTGTCACGCAATTCTGGCTCTAGGCGGCCACTTGTGAAAATAAACCTACATTTTATCGCTCGTTAGACAAGATGATTGATCAAGGAAGCTAAAAATAGCGAAAAATTTTCGACACTTTTTGTAGGAATGGAAAATTTCACGTTAAGAGAGATGCATATAGGCGAAATGTTGATAGAAAAATCGTAGCGTTTCTTTCTTCTGTCGTTTATTACTTTGAAGATTTGTTAAAATCAAAAAAAAAATGGCTTTTGCACGGCACAAAACATTCACTAGTCTATGATTTGATTGTTTATTATCATCATCGCTCATTTTAGGAGATTTTTGTCACATGCTGCGTGTTGGTTGACGTACAAGCTCCCGTGTGCGACAACTTCGACTTAGCAGACAAGAAATTCTGCCTACTCACTTTAGAGAAAACATCAATAACTATATCAAGTTAAAAAACTGTGCTGCTATTCCGAAAATAAAACTAAAATAGTGTTGTCGTTTTCACCTACCGCTATCGAACATTTCCATGTTGAACTCCACCAAACTTATACGAGGGTCTCAATGGGCTGATGACTTTTACGAATAACGGGTAAAATTTTGGCCAATTTAAGGATAACAGTTAACACCTTTCCATTGTTTCTTCCAGAAGTACTTTTTACAGTTAACTTTTTTACAACTAACGGTTAAAATTTGTCAATTTTTACGACTAACAGCTAACTTTTTGGCCGTTTTACGACTAAAGGTTAACTCCACTGAGACCTTCTAACACCTGTAGCGTGACCCGAAGACTTTTCGTAGTAATTATTCAAAGGCGTTGTTCATTGTGTCTACTGGATAATAATTTCAGAATATTCTGCAGATCTCTATGTTATTTGTTTTCTTCGATCGTAAAACATCGGCTTTTTTTTCTAGAATTCTAGAACTACATGTAAATCTAGATCTCTTCTCGATTGAGTGTTGCCGGCGTTGAATTGCGTGACTTAAAGAATGAACCAGCAATATTTTGACCAATAGGCTTCCTGCAAATTTCCCTTGATGGAAAAATCCGAAGACAAAGTTAGTTGTTTTCGTGGGTAATGACCATAAATTTGAAAAAAATGTGAGATGTAAAGGTCTGTATTTTTTGTAACCTAGTAGCAGCTGTACCCGGCTCTCTCCTGCATTCTTCGTCTAAATTTTGCAAGGTCCCTCCTTATCTTTTGCCTTGTTCGGTCAGTTTCGACTTCTGAAGCTTGATCATCGGCACCGGCCTCTTCGTCCTCGTTTATTCTTACAGAGGGAGAACTCTTCAATACACTAGTTTTTGTTAGGGCTGATAGTCGGCCAAAGTATCGAGCGATCTGCTGCTCTATCAACCAGTCAGTCTTATTGCAACATTTCTGGCCGGTGTCGTCTTTACTTGGGATGCCACATTTTGAGCGCTTACTAGTTTCCTCCCCTGTCCAGCACATGTCTGGTAGATAATTCTTTGCTTTGTGAGAAAGAGCAGCTGCTTTTTGTGTTTTCCAAAGGTGCCATCCAAAGTCCACCTAGCCAGTGAGGGATTGTTCGTCAGAATTTTTACACGAGGTCCGACCTTAAACGCAGCCATCCCCTTCAGAATGGCAAGCTTCCGTCCATTTCCTCTTGATCTCAATTTTCCAATTCCTGAATTATTACAATGACGGCAGAACTTTAAGAATGTCGGGTTGTGAAAATGCTTAGAGTAAACGGAAGATAAATTGAATGCGTAATACCTATCACTACCACGATGTAATCACACGGTTGTAACGAAAACGAAGACCCCCGATAGACTTAGGACTTGGGACCCTAGACCCAAGACCCGAAAACGAATACTCGAAAGCAAAGATCCGAAATCGAAGACCCCTTTATTTTCTGACTTTGTTTTCTTGATTTCTTGCCGGAAATATCCAGCACCGATTTTAATCTCTTTTTGAGTGATGAAGTTTGCAATCAAAAGACCCCGGATGCGAAGACCCGAAATTATAAACGAAGACGCGAAAACGAAGACCTAAAGGATGTGATCAAACGCGAACTAAGAGCCTATGTGAATCGTGTTCATTTATTGGATTCTTCCCAATGCTTAAAATGCTACATTGACAGCCCTTTAGTCGATCCACTAACGTCAAAGCGCGCTCTTATTAGTTTTTTGTTCTTTTGGTTACCTTCTGCGTCTCAAACACGTCTCTGCTTTAGTTCCTAAAGGAGTTTTAAAAGTTTTGTAAACAACGCTATAGCCGTTAAATTATCTCTATGTGAAAAAGAAGAAAAAGAATGGAAACCTGCCTTCACAAAACATTGAAAATACTTAATTACGGCATTTTTCCTGCTTGTATGGAAAGTGCTGGACCGGCCTGTATGAAAGAAGAGTAGCGCCGTAAGACCAACCGGCGTTAGCCGGGTCGAAAGTTCACATCTGCTAGCTCTCGGGGCGGTGGTTAGAAATTTTGAGGAGCACTAGTATTTGCGGAAATAAATTAAGAAACCTTCAAATAAGAAAATTATAAGAAATAAAGCGATCTCCGGTTCAGCGTTTAATGTAATCGTCGGCAATTTCGCTCTATTTTATTGATAAATTATCACGTTGCGAACAGAGAAGTTGCCAAGCTTTAAATGTTTTTCATCGGTAAGGCCATAAAGCGTGTCACGCAGTTCCTGTATCAAGATCATGAAAGGGTCCCCGTTTTCGGGTGTTAAGTCTCTGTTTTCGGGGGTCTTCGTTTTCACCACAACCATAATCACAAAAATTACGAAAACCTCGGTTTTAGTAAAAACGATCTGTAATTCACCTTTTGGGCTTTAGAGTTCACGTGTAGTATCACGTGATTTTTGATGTAAACAAACCCCGAAAGTTCGGACATTGAGTCGAGCTCGCAGCACATGTATCCAAACTTCGGCTTTGGAAATTTTTCTTAAATAACTTCCCACTTTCAAGAAACGTGTCTTCGCTCAAAATTGACATCTTTCTTTTGTCATTTATTTGATCGTTTATTAAGCAAGTTGTCATTTCGCTGCCGTTGAAGCAGATGCGAAGAATGTTACAGGAAGCGTTTCGGCATGGAATAATCGAAACTAATCGAACTAGTTCTGCTTACAGTGATGTATCTGATCAGGTATTTTCTGGGTGTTTAGTGCGTAGATTGTC